GTTTTAGAGATATTAAAAAGAAGATAAATATTAAATCTGTTGTCCATTTTAATTGTTAGGTATTTGGTTTTCTTGTCTGTTTCTGTTACAGATGAAGTAACAGTAAACCTTTTGGGTCTTAATTTAATGTCTTCTGCAAATTTAATATAGTTAATGGCCTGGTAGTTGTCAGAAAAATATAAATGTATTCTGGCAAGATTAATACAGAATTGTAGTCAGTTTTGAGTTTTATATGGAGGAATAGTGACAGGAGATGCAAAAATTTCAAGGTAATTAAGTTTGGTAAATAAAATAATAGTAAATTTAAGAATAAGTTTTTTGAGACTCCTTTTAAGAACATCAAAAGGGATTGTAGCTTCTTGATCAATTTTAGGATCGAATTTAAAGATAATTTCAGAGAGAAATTTGGGTTTGGCTTCAGTTGTTTGATGAATAATATAGTAGAAGCTAGCTGTAAGAGCTTTTTTGGTTTCAGTAGCAGGTTTAATCTCTTTTCCTGAATAAAAGTTGAAGAGATGTTGTTTAAAAAAATTGAACAGGTCTCAGGATAATTAAGTTTGTAATTTAGTGTTAGTTTCCATTTCGGTTGTAATTGAGAAGTTGCTTAACCAGTCAAATGTTGAATTGACTTTAGTTTTAGTATTAGAAGGTGGAGGTTGGTTTTATTGAGATTGTTGCTATTTTTGTTGTTGTTGTTGTTGCTGTTGTTGTTGTTGTTGTTAATGTTGTTGTTGTTGTTGTTTTTTAGTTGTTGTAGTGTCATCGATATCTATATCTTCATCTTCATTGTTTTGGTTATTGTTGAGTGATGTAAGAGGATTAAGTTGAAGAGTAAGTAGGTTTTGGATTTGTTGTTTAGTAATTGGGTTTTGAGATTGTTGTTTGGTAAGTGTTTGTCGAAGTTTATTAGCAAATAAAGTAGTATTGCTAGGAGATTTTTGTTGAATTTTTTTTGAAGAACCTTGTTGGGAATTAAGTTGAGTTTTAATACAAGATTTATGATATGATTTGCCATTAAAAAGCAAGGCATTGTTTGCTAAATAATGTTTGTTGTTAGTTAATTTACAGGTAATAGGTTGATTACAAGTAGAGCAGATGTGTTGATGAGTAGATAGTGAAGAAGAAGAGGTAGAAGATGGTAGGATAAATTCTGTAGAATTTGCAATAGTATTTGCAAGTGATTTTCTGTCTTTTGATTTTTTGATAGGTTGTTCAGTTGAGTTTTGTTTGTAGGTTAAGTTTTTTTGAAAAATGAAGTTAGTATGGAACTTGCCACAGAGACAAGTAATTATACTGCTAGTTGTAGGAGCTTTAAAATAGTGACAACATTTACTATTGCCTCTAAGCTCGATGTTAAAACAGTTGTTAGGTTCTTTGCCAGTAGGAATTAGACAAGAAGTTAGTGGAGTTTCTTCATAGACTCCAATGCCAAAACTTTTAGAAAAGTTCTTATAAAAGTAGTCAAGATCAACAAGATTAGGGTCAGTAGTTACAAGAGTTGGCATACTGTAATTTTATTTTGTTTAAAATTACTTGAAATTCTTTGTTTTTTGAGATAATAATATTACTACAAGAGTAATATGTATTTTGTAGAAATATTACTGTGGCTTATATGGCTAATGTGCCTTGAATAACCTTATTTGGTCTATAATAATGACTAAAATTAGGTTACATGAAAAGTTTTCAGAACTAGGTTTTTGGAATAATTTTTTCTGTTTTGTAATTTCTAGCTTAGTTAAGAGAGATCTGAAAAGTGCAGAGTTATTAAAAAAGGTAGTTAGATGTTTAGGAAATTTTAATGGGTACCAGAAAAGTGAAATTTCTGAGACACCCTTGCAAATTTTCCTAAATTGCCTATAAAAAAACCTGTAAAAACATATTTTAGGTTTTGCCTTTTTGAAGATAACTTGATGAGTTTTTATTTGTTTTGGATAAAATATATATCAAAATGTTTGTCTTAATGAGCTGAGTAAATAACTAATAATAAGCAAAGTATAATTAATTAATAAAGTTTTAAGAAAATAAGCAAAAACCAAAAGGTTAATTTTTGTAACTTTTCTCAATAGCCAGGTATTGTTGGAGCTTAAAACTTGGCCGCCTAGGAGCAGAAAAGTGTCCTGAGCAACTTTACTTAAGGGTACAAGTAAGGTTAACTTAGTAAAATGAGCAGTAATAATTAAATGTTTTTAGCAAAAATTTGGTATAAATGATTTGCAGAAAGAGTTACCATTTTGTCTTTTTTAGTTAGCAAAGTTTATACAGTATGGTTTCCATATTTGTTCATATGAAAGTTTGTTAACTTTAAACAAAATAGCAATAATTGTTTTTGAGACTAGTTTGTATAAAGTGTTGCAATTTTGTACAATCTCAATTAAAGATTTAGGAATAAGTCCTTTGAGTGTGATATCAAGATAGTGTTGATTGGTTTGAAGAAGTATAGAATAGAAGACATAGTGGTTACTGATTTTATAAATAAGTTCTTCTTGTTGGTTTATAGATAAATCAAGATCTGTATAATTAATGTATTTGGATATGCTAGTTTGGATAATATTGAAGATAAGTAATAGGTTTGAGCATGTATACCAATAAATTAGAGAATCAGCGAGATTGCAGTTAAAACAGTTAGTATTATAAAATGTGTGTAAATAGGTTTTGTAAAAATGAAAATAGGTAGGAAGTTCATTTAATAGGATTTTAATTTTGAAGGATTTAAGGTAGTTGAGTTTAAAGTTTGTGATGTTATGAGTTGTTTTTTGGTTATAGTTAAAAAAGAACCAGATTGATCTCCAATCAATTTGGAAGACCAAGGCTTTCTATTCTCTGTTACATTTTTGAGAAGACCATATTGCTAAAATATAGGCTCTGCAAATATTTTTGGTGAAGCTTCTAGTTGGATGTTCTATAAAATGTTGATCCCAAAGAATTATATAATATGAATTGTAGATGCTTGTATAGTTGAGGTATAGTGTAGGTGATAAATTATGTTATTTTGCTAATAAGTCTGCTAAATTATTAAGAATGTTATCGGAGTGGGCTTGTACTTTGTAAAAGTTAATCTGATGGTTATAAGATTTGATAATATTGAGCAGAGTGTGCCATATTGGCCATAAGCTGAATTTGAAAATTTTAAATATTATTAATTATAATATATATCTATAATATATTTAAATTTTAACAAATTTGAATTATTAGATTTTAAGAAATTATAAAAATTTTATAAATAATTTAATTTTAAAAATTGGTTATAGTTTTTAACTAATTACTTAAAAACTACTAATTTAAATTAAATAAAATTTTAATATATTGTTACTCTATAATATATCCAACTATAATATAATTTATATCTAATTTGGATTTATAGTTGTTAAGAAATTTACAATTAAATATTTATAAAAAGATGATTTTTATTTGTACACTATGTGTACATACATGCATCATGTGATTATATATGATCATTAATAATGATCATGTATATACATATGTGCAACATTGGTGATTTATTAGTATAACATAATACTATATATATTACTACTGTATTATGAACAATTATATATTTATACTGTACTGTACATACATATGAACGTACGTATAACAGATAATTTTTCAATGTACAATACGTAACTTATATATATGAACATACATACATATATAAGTCTTTCATACATACAAAAAGTGATTTACTATAAAATATTCTAATATCTAACTGAATGCTAATTCTAACCATAATGTAAAGAGCTATTACTAATTAATTTGCGAATTATAATGATAAGGTTGGACAAACTACATTGAATATAAAATTACAGCAATGACCAAGTACTTGGAAATTAAGACTTGTTAAATTGCGAGGCTTGGTTTTTTTAGATAGAATAATAAATTAGTTAGTAATATAAATAAGCAAGAAAACATTGAAATAAATACTTAACTGAATCTGCACTTCTTGAAGAAACCTTTTTAACTTCAAAAATATAAAGTTTAAATAAAGTATCCAGACTTATCAATTGCCTTTCAGAAATTTCATTGTTAAGCAATGAAAATTTTTGAATTGTATAAGTCCAGACATTCTAATATTAAATGATGATAAAGAAAAAAAAATTCCTTGTTATCTAATCGTATAACTTATCAATTAAATGCATCAAATAATCTAAGCACATTTACATATCCTACAGTATAACATGCTATACTATATATTACTATGCTATGTGCAGTAATGTTAACTAACTAAATATACTAAAAATTAATATCTTAAGATGCCTGGCAAGTTTTGGAATAATGATCATATTGCTTGCATTTTCTACATATACAGCTCTTCATATTAATTACATTGCTGCTATTACTATTTTTCACTCTATTTAAAGCTTCATTGTTGTTCTTTAATATCCGTTTGCTTTTAAAACTTATATATTCAACATCAGACTTTAATCTTTTTGGTGGTCTGCCTCTATGTTTGGTGATATTTGAGTTTCTAATATCATAACTATCATGGTTATTATCATTATCATTTGTCTGTTGACTTTTATTAATTTTATTTTGTACATCATAGAGAAATGTCTTAAAAACATTCAATAGCTCTTGTAACATATTAGTCCTCATAGCTAAATCAATAGCTTTTCTTGATAGTCCAAACAATTCTGCATATATGGATTTGTTAGATCTTGCTGAACATGAATTATATGAATTAGACCAAATTGATAATAAATGTTCGAATGTAACATTAGAGTTGTTAGATATTTATCTTCTGATCTAACTGCAGCACACACTTTGATAGCAGACATTTGTTGCAAAAGCATTTTTTGATTTGTGCTAGGCTCTAAATACCATCAGGATGAAATAATAGTAATATGGAAAGTAGCTGTTTGAGAATAAGTTGCCACTTGAAAAAAATATTAGCATACTAAACCTTTGTTTATTAATAAAAGACAAGTACACAAATATGTACTATCATTTAGTAACATTACATAATTTTCAATACTTTTAGCACCAGTAGCACAAACATTCTATACTTCCAAAACATCTTCATGTACAATATTTTTGATCAACAACTTGAAAAAAGCTTGCTGAATATCCTCATTATGTTCTCGAAATCTATCATTAATCTCTTCATTATCATTCTTCACCTGTAGGTAAGTATAAATAAAACATAAAACATACTGCTTTTAATAGAGATTCTAAAAAAAAAAAAAAACTTTACTCTACTAATTGCTGCCAATCTTGGATTTGATTAACATCAAAACATACAGATTGATTCATCTGTAGTTGCTGTTTTCCCAACATAATAGGTATTAAAACCTTTTAACTATGTTATTAACTTCTTTAAAAAGCCTAGTATTTAATATTAGTAACCCAATAGTTGGTAGTGCATTATGTTCGATTTCAAATTTTTTAAATTGCTTCTCACTTTTAATATAATCATTAATGTTGACAAGTAAATCACAGAGAGAGGTAACTTGGTCAACTTTGTCATGTATTTGTTTGTTGATCAATTCAATCCTTTGGGTGCTCTGAACACCAGCTGTGAATACATTATGTATCCAAGGTATACCCCATGCCTTTTTATTAGGATAAAGTGTTTCCAACAAATATTTTGCCACTATTGGAAATTTATCAATTAAATGATGCCAATGAGTTTTAAACAATTCGTGACATAAAGAATTTTAACATGTGTAAAATTTTTTTCAAAAATCTCCAAAATGAGATCCTAGTTTACTTATAAGTTTTTGTGTAGGTTCATGTTAATATGAAAAATGCATAATATATGATCTGTATTTGGATGCATTTTCTTAATAGCACTAATTAAGGATAGGTCAGAATCAGTAAAAATAACCTCAGGATTGACACTTGTTTTTTCGAAAATTGTTGTAAAGATTTATCAAAAAGTGTCAAGAGTTTTGTCATCAATTATTGCAGAAGCAATAATTCTAGATCTGAAATAGTTATCAATAATAACAATGATGCAAAGCATCATCTTAAACCTATTTGTATTGGATGTGATATTCAGAATTACAACATCATAAAAATTTTCATATAAGGATCATTGCGATGGTGACATCCATAATAATCTGATTAATCTTTGGAACAAAGGATCTAAATAGAGTTTAACTATCTATGAAGAATCTAATTCTTTCCAATTCATTAGTATTTGGAGCATTTGGAATACATCTGAATCACCAGGGTTATTTTCAGTTTAAAAATAGTATATTGCATTATAAAGATCTTTTTTAAAGATAGATTGGTTAGGATAATTGTGCTTTAGTAAAGGGTAGATAGACCCAGAATTCATTTGACCTTGCAATATATATTTTTTTATATCAGATAACATTTCTGGGGTTAATCTTCTAAATCGTAGAGCTATTTTATTTATAGTTGGAATAAGAACATGATTATGTTCATTCTTAAATAAGTTGATCTTCAAAATATTATTTGTTTTGGGGCAGGTAAGATTAAGATGCCAAGGGCATTCTGTTCATTGTGAAGACACATTTCATCACTTAGTAGGATCTGTAGTCACTAGAGGTTGATGTGTACCTGATCTTGAAAATTTGTATGTGGCATGACTAACTATATCACTATCCATTGTGCTAGTTCTGATTCAATAACTAAACCCTTCCTTTTTAGCAAAACATTCAATCCAGGCTTTAAATTTCTTGAAACTTCCAAAGATAAGTTTAACTTTCAACTCTAATGGATTATTATGGTTTTCAATTTCTCCTGAACCTTCAAAATCAGTACCACTAAGTTCACTGTCAGAACTATCATCCATAGAATGATAATTGTTACTAATGTTGTCCATAAAATGATAATCATTACTAAAATTGTTCAACTAAAAAAAAGTTGTACATATGTACATACATATAAGGATGGATTAGGTTATAAATATTAACAAACAAACAATAAAAACATGTAAGATATACTTGGAATAGAGAAAGGCTATTGGTCGCATTTGAACATTCTGGATCCAGATTAAAAAAAAAAGTAAAAAATAAAAAAAAAGTTATTATGATAACTTATCCTAGCTTGTGTCATGTATGTATTAATATTCAAAATACTTGCTTGTTATAATTTGGTTTTCTATATTTAATGAGCTTCTATATTGAGTGAAAATATGAAAAAAAAATTGGATTGCAACTTTTAGGCTACAGGTAAAAAAATGATTATTTCAACAATCATTTTTATGTTTGTTAACGTTAATGAATCCTCAATTGTCTATCTCATAAAATAAACTATCTTACTAGTCAACTAAACACTTTCTTTATAAGTGAAGGTTCTAAGCAAACCTGGCATGCAAAAAATACACAGTTAACCTTTGGCTGAAAAACATGAAAATGATATTTCTGTGATCTTATATTACAAGCTTCTTATTTGTCTAACTAAAATATTCATGAAAATTTTTAAGCAAAGGGCACAAAAAAAAAATACATAACTCTTAGGTTATAAGTGAAAGAAAATTAACTATTATTATGATCATTTATCTATTTATTAAGATCAAAACAATTGTGATCACATATATATGCATTACTAATATCAGAGTTACATCAACAATACATACATACTATGGTACTATGTACAACTATAGTAATATTGATACAACTATGATAATCAATATATATGTGTATATACACATAGTGTAATTTAAGAAATATTCTTTTTTTAAATAACTATAAAATTTAAAATTTAACAAACTGCAAAACTTGAAATTTAAAATATTGAAAATCTAGACTTAGAAATTTATTCAAGTTTAAGAACTAGAAAACTATAAATTATATTAATAATAAATAATAAAAAATCTAAAATTTAAAAAACTGCTAAATTTAAGATCTAAAATACTTAGAACATAGCTCTAAAGCATTGTTTAAGTTTAAAAGCTAGAAAACTTTAAATTAATTACATATTATTTTATTTATTAAAATAAATAAATACATATTTTAAAATTTAAAAAACTATTAAATTTAAAATTAAAAATATTTAAAACCTAGTTTCAGAGCATCATCTAAGTTTGAAAGCTAAAAAATTATTAAATAACTATTAAATCTAAGGTTTAAAATACTTAAAACCTAATCTCAAAGCATTACCTATGTCTAAGAACAAGAAAATTATTAAATCTGAGATCAAAATACTTAGAACCTAGCTTCAAAGCATTGCTCAGACCTAAGAGCTAAAAAATTATAAATTATATATATATTATATATTTTTAAATATATATTAAATTTATATAAAAATTAAATACAAAATCTGAAATATAAAATACTTAGAACCTAGCCTTAGAGCATTACTAAGGCCTAAGAGCTAGAAAACTATAAATTAATTATTATATTTTTTTTTATTTTTTATTTTTTTTGCTTTTGCTAAGGCTGTAGTTATCGGCAACTATTGCCTTTATTGTATTTTAATTATAATTACATAACTTGTACAAGGTGAGTATACAACTAGCCATATGTACAACTTTTGGTTATTTAATTTAAGTAGTCCGCTTGTACAGCAGGTTCTACACTAGCTGCCATACCTGCAATCTACTAGGAGATTATCTATTTAAACACTTTGATCCCTATACTTACACTGCCAAATAGTGCACAAGTTCCTATATACCTAAGTGCTGTCTAACCTAAACCTGATCTTTCTGTCTGTATATCTGTCAAGCCGTTACATATTTCAAAGTATATCACCTAACTATAGGGCTTCAGAAGGCCCCCTTGCTAACTAACTACCCATATTTAGTATCTTGTTAACAGGGCTTACCTTTGCAGAGTTCACTTAGACCCTAGTACTAACTTCATAGCATATCCCTAGTACTTTAGTATACTTCTGTTTCTGATCTCAGACTTCTAATTCAGATAGCCCGGTAGGACTGTAACCTGTTCTTGATATCCCAGAGTTTGCACTCCAAGATCCTTTTTCTTCAGTTCAGGACTTCCAGTGGCCTGGTTGGTGGTACCTCTCACTTGAGGTTCTTGCCTGCCTGATTTCTTCCACATTGGTATCCGTTTCCTAGGTCTAGCCTTTATAGTAGTACTGTTGAAAATCTGTGTTACCTCTCTACTCGGGTCTTCCCAAGTAGGCTTTCAGTTATTCTAGTTCACGGATTTACATGGCTACAGATGCCCTATGACCTGCCAGTTATCTGGTGTGACTGTGTTACAGGTACTGATCCTAACTAATCAATAGATAGCTATTGTTATAATATCAGTTTCAAGAACTTATCTTGTGTTTGCATCGCCCAATGCTAATTTGCATTTTTTTGTGTAATTCTAGCATTGCACAGATGTCTGTATACACCAATGTAACATAGGTGGTTTTCCAAATTTTCACCATCAGTGGGTTTTGAACTCCCAACCTACCACTTGGAAGGTTGACAACTTATCTACTTCACTAAGTCACTACACTCTTTATTATATTTTTTTAAAATTAATATTTACAGAATCTAAGATTTAAATAACTATTAAATTTAAGATTAAAATTACAAAAACCTAGCTTTAAATTATTACCTAAGCCTAAGAGCTAAAATATTATAAATTAATTACATATATGAAATTTAAAAAACTATTGAATTTATAATTAAAAACACTAAGAAACTAGCCTCAGAGCATCATCTAGGCCTGAGAGCTAGAAAACTATAAATTAATTATTACATTATTAATTAAAATTAATAATTACAAAATCTAAGATCTAAAAAACTTAGGATCTAGCCTTAGAGCATCGCCTAGGCCTAAGAGCTAAAAAATTAGTAAATTGGAGATTAAAAACACTTAGGACTAGCTTTGGAGCATCTCTCAGGCCTGAGAATTAGTCTCTTCTCTTATATGGTGTGATTCTGTATCACTATGTTATACTGTAACCTGCGTAACCTGTGAATTAACCTGCGAAGCAGATTAGAATAACCTAAAATGACCTGCTTCATAGATCAAAAAGTGATAATATGAGAAAAATATATATGTATATATATATGTATTTATATACATATAAATATATGTGTAATATATATATTAATATATATGTAACATACATATACATACATACTGTATGTCACTTTGAATAATTTTAGTATCAGAGTTACCAATATGTATGACAGAGCCATTTTCAACAATTATTACTGAAGAATATATAGCAGAAATTGCAACATGAGTTGATAAGAAAGCTGAACCATATTTAATAGAAAATAACCTGTATGAGTTTAAATTACTTTGTCATGGAATCAGAGATGGTTTTACTAATAAATGATTTTAGGAAAAATGTGATAAGCAAGCAAATACTATTGTGCTAATAAAAGTTAAAAACTCTGATAAAATTCTTGGTAGTTATAATTCTTTAAAATAAGATAAATAAATTGGTAGCTTTCTTGGTAAATATGTATATTGCAATGATAGCTTTATTTTTTCATTAAAAAATGAAACTATGAGTTCCTTAACTTTAAGTTGTGTAAAAAATCTGCAATATGCAATTTATTGTGATTCAAATTATGGTTTGTTTTTTGGTGATCTTTGGATATATGATAATTTTAATCAAGATAAAGGATGTTCTTATTATGATAATAGCTTTTATAAAAAAACAATTAGAAATGCAAATGCATACAGAAATTTTTTAGTAACAGAATATGAAATAATTCAAATGCAAAAAAAATAAAATAGAAATAAAGTTAAAGGTAATTAAAGTTTAAAAATTAAAGTTTGTTTTTCATTAATGTATAAACAGATTTTAAGTTTATAAGTGATTATAAGAGTGATAAGAAATGTACTTCTGTACTTACTAAGCAAATAATCATTTACAATTAAATTTCATAATCAGAAATAAGTTTACTTTTATTTGGAAGGTGAACTTTTACTGATTTATCAATATAATTAATATGATCAATAAGATCGATATGATCGATATGATTGATATGATCAATATGATTGATATGATTAATATGATCAATAATGTCATAAAACTCTATCATATAAGCCTTAACTTATGTTGTCATGTCTGTGATCTATGATAGGTTAAGTTACTGATTTCAACCACCATCCAACTATGTCTTTTAGAACTAATCCAAATTATGATGAAAAAGTTATTGTATTTAGTAATTTGAAAGACCTATTGTTACGAAGTTAAAGTTGAATATATAAAAAACAATTTGATCATATTTAGTTGTTTTTTTTTTGTGATTTTATAAATTAATTTTTTTTTATCTAACAAAAGTATACAAATAAAAAGTTTAAATAACCTTATTAAAGCATAGTGGGCTTTAAATTTTATTGGATGATAAACCGGAATGTTACACAATCAACAACAAAATTGTTGTTGTCTTCCCTCTTATATAGCGCGATACTTAATCACATTATCATGCTCTGACCTAAAATGACCTATGAAGCAGGTTAAAAAGAAAAAAAAAATATGTATGTATGTACATATGTTTATGTACATATGTACTTCTAGGTTCAAATGAATCAAAATCAAGTTCACTTGAACTTAATCCGTGTTCAAGTGAACCAAAATCGGGTTCACTTGAACCAAATCCGGGTTCAAGTGAACCAAAATCGGGTTTACTTGAACCTAATCTGGATTAAATGAATCAAAATCGGGTTCACTTAAACCAAATCCGGGATCAAGTGAACCAAAATCGGGTTTACTTGAACCAAATCCAGGTTCAAGTGAACCAAAATCGGGTTCACTTGAATCAAATCCGGGTTCAAGTGAACCAAAATCGGGTTTACTTGAACCAAATCCAGGTTCAAGTGAACCAAAATCGGGTTCACATGAATCAAATCCGGGTTCAAGTGAACCAAAATCAGGTTCACTTGAATCAAAATCGGGGTCACTTGAACCAAAGCCGGGTTGAAGTGAACCAAAATCGGGTCACTTGAACCAAATCCGGGTTCAAGTAAACCAAAATCGGGTTCACTTGAAACCAAAATCATGATTACTTGAACCAACTTCGGTTTCAAGCAAACCAAAAACGGGGTCACTTGAATCTAATTTAGATTCAGGTGAACTGAAATCGGGTACGCTTAAACCAAATCCGGGTTCAAGTGAACCAAAATCGGGTTCACTTGAACCAAAATCGGGTTTACTTGAACCAAATCTAGGTTCAAGTGAACCAAAATCGGGTTCAAGTAAATCAAATCCGGATTTAAGAGAACCAAAATCAGGTTCACTTGAACCAAAGCTGGGTTCAAGTGAACCAAAATCATGTTCAAGCAAACCAAAATCGGGTTTACTTGAACCTAATCTTGGTTCAAGTGAACTAAAATTGGGTATAACTACAGAATCTGAGATTAAAAACATTTAAGACCTAGCCCCGGAGCATTGCCCGGGCCTGAGAGCTAGTCATATGAAATAGAATCCAATTTTTTTCCCCACAAATGTTAAAAACTTCGGATTGAAATAAAAATCACGTGCATTATAATTTGTAACGCCGATCACTTTTGCCAAGAAAAATTCTTAAAAAATCAGAAAAAATATATCGATATGTATACGTATTCGCTTTATTGTTACCTGATATAACTTCATATGATTGAACTAATTCAGGTGCAAACGGAAAATCGGTATAATACATTCTATTTGAGCAACATTTTTACTTGTGGTGTATCCGGAAATTCGCGTATGTAAGACATTTGTGCTGGGGGCGTAAATTGACTACTTCGGTATTTAAAATCTTTGGCAATTTTTTCAACGCGTTCCTGCTCATTACAAAATAAGTAAAGATTGTGAAATTTGTAAACAAATACCTCATAAGCTTATATAAAAACATATCATACTTCCAAAGCCATCAAATGACTAATTGCAAACTCTGCTAATGGAATTGTAGACTTGTCAACCACCAGTTTGGTTGTAAGAAATGGCCAGGAGCGGTATAGCCCATCACATTTCAAATCCATAAAAAACGATTCCATTGAGTTACCTTATCATTGTAAAAGTATAAGTTAGCAAATTATAAAAAATTCCAATTTCTTGTAATTAATTGAAAGTATATATACCAATGTTTAAAAACATAACTGCCTCGCCTGGACCTCCTTTTCTTTGCAATTGTTGATTAATCGATTTCCGAGCCTTTAGTTGAACTTTCAATCGGTCCATCTTCTCTTGCAATGGAGTACAACCCAATGGTTTAAACTCGGAGTTTAGAATTGGTACGTCATTTACTGTACAGGAAAGATCAGGTCTTGTCTTTGATCCTACATTAGCCCGATTTAATTTGAGTTCATATTCTTTATCATTTCTGCGAAATGAACGAGCAATTGGATATATGAACATATCGCAATGTTCCTCTTCCGACAACTTTGATGGAGCAACCTCCGGAATACCATAATACCTGTATTATATTTATGTAAGCTACGACTTCGCGAATAAGATGCAAGATGATGTATGCCAAGCAAACTTACAGGTTGTTGAACATTAGTGCAACAATTCTACTTAATTCTGATTCACCACTATTCATGAAAACATCTCCATCAATCAAACGTCTACTAGCTGTCTCTCGAAGAGATAATGAAATTTCTGGTGGTAATGGCGATTCTTGCAAAGTGTAAGGATTGGTTTTTGTAATTTTTTTCCATTCTTGGTTTGTGAAATTGGAATATGGACATGGCCAACAGAGCACTATAATTGATGCTAAAGCTCTAAATACAATAAAAAAAATGCTTAATATATCTAATGTAAATGGTACAATAATGTAGGTAACACTTACAGAAGTTCATAGATGCTCGAATGTTTTAAACCCCATCTTTGTGCCTTCGCAAGAACAACTTTCTGATAATGCCGAAATCGGTTGGTTACATTGATATTATCAACTTCCCACTAAAAACATAAGCAAACTGTAAGATGCAGGAGATAAAAAAATCGATAACAAAACATACTTCAACTGTTGGTTCACGATTCAATTCTTTCGAAATGTTGGTTAAATCAAAATTGATTTCTTCATTTTCAAACCCCGAGGAAGAATTTTCGTTATTGTTTCTTGATGGCAAATTCTCATTATTATCAGAATCATTCTCGGTGTTTTCTTTTTCCTATATAAGAAATATACATGAGTTTGCATGTTCTCATAATTTTAACGCTTAAATTTTTTTTTACCTTTTTATTTGAACCATTTTCTTCGTTATCAATCACAACCTCAATTCCTCGCTTACGATGATTAGTTGATAAATTCATATCTTTAGTCGATGCTTCCTGCGTATTTGCATATTGAGTAAGCTGTTTCCAGAAAAAAGGTGCCAGAATAAGCAAATAAAATCATGATCCTTTCATAAATGCCCTACTCCAATTCCTTACCGTTTTCCCGAATATGCTGAGGTGCCCCAACGTAGCAGATCGAACTGCATTTTCCTCCTCTTTTCTTCGTTTTACTTCTTCAGCTACTTCACTCCAGAAGCGGGATACAACCGGTGACTTTCTTTCTAACTTAAAAAGAAGCTAAGTCAAACAAAAATAAAGCAACCATTTACGCAATAAAAACGCCTGATTTTCATTGATTATATCCAACTTCATCCCAAACCAGCGGATTATCTCAAGAGCAAACCAGCAGATGCTCTTGCTTAGATGAAGAGAAACAAACTTTGACGAAACCAGCGGATCATCACAAAAGTAAACCAGCGGATACTTTTGCTTGTCAAGGTCTTGCTTGACATTACCCGAAACCAGCGGATCATCACAAGAACAAACCAGCGGATGCCCTTGCTGGGTAAAGTCAAGTCAGAACGTTGTAAAGCAAAGAAAAAATACACATTTACCTCGAATGCATTTAAGGCGAGCTGTGCGCGTTCATTAAAATTTTGTTGCTCAGTTAGCTCAGCCAAATATCTAGCATGCTCAGATTGAGAAGTTTCTATGAAAGAATCTTGTTCCCTTCTTAGAATTAGGTACTCATAAAGATAATTGTTACATTCACTTTTAAGTACGGCTTTGACAGCAACTTCTCTTTCTCGTTTCGCGTCCATAACTTCTAGAGAACTATTTTTTTACCGCGGTAATTCATATATAGTGAACCAGCTTTCTGATTGGCCGATCATAAGGTGCTGCACGGGTTTTCGAAAAATAATCAACAATTTCATTTTTGCTGAACGCGCAATTAAGGTAATTTCGGTTGTGCCAGATGAATTAGCTTTTGGGTCTGGAAACTAATAATTCTTTCACACAGATTTCTGAAAACTTTATTAGTATTGCAGAAAGCAACATTTTGCTAAGCTCAATATTGTTAATTCACTGTTGATACTGCATGTATGACTGATAACTAGATAAAAATGAAGCTGGATTATAGATAGTGTTGGTACAGATAGTTTAGACAAATGAAAAATTTGTAGTGTAATCAATAGTATAGAACAATAAATAGATTGATTCTTTTCAATTTTTATTATAATCAATAAAGCAAAGCATGATTTTTTATATCAATATTATTTCATGTGATTAACCTTTTGAATATATTCTATTTTGTAATAAAACAATGTTAAATGATCAATTAACAATCAATACCTTGAGAGAATTAAACTCTAGGCTTGCTCTTCAAATTGATGAACTTAGAAAGAAGAATACCGAAGTCAAGGCTGAGAACACAAGATTGAAACAAGCTATAGAGGAAAATGTAATACTCAAGATTAGATTCAAAGAACTAGAAAAAAAAAATAAAACAAATACTGTTAAGCTTATTGCCAAGAATGTTGAGTTAAAAGATAAAGTCTCGAAATTGGAACAGAAGCAGACCCAAGTCATCACTAATGACCAAAACACATCTTCTACAAACAATATTTTGCAGTCTACAGCTTGTTCAGAATTATCAGTAAATACTTAGACCCAGGCACAAAGTACTATTTCTTCTGAAATAAGAGATGAGTCTAAAAGATCATTATTTCCTATCGAGGATCAGTCTGACAGGGAGAAAGACAATAATTCTGATTATTTATCTAAACTAGAACATAATCTGACAAGACCTGAATTATTAGCAGAATCTGAAATATCCAAATCTTCTTTATCACAAGATACTATTAATGATGATTCAGTTGAGATTCTTGAATTTGTAGAAACAATACATAAAGAGAATATTAGTAATGAAATAAGGGAAAGAATCAGAAAAAAGAAACTTCAGAGTCAAGAATCAATGCAAAGAACATCTTTCTCTTTTAATATACAAAATAATAAGTTAAATCCTGTTATCAACATCCATGAGCATAAAATCACCCAATCAGAATCAATACCTACTGATCAAGCACAAAATACCAAAATAAAAATTCCATATAATAAAAAAATAGAACAAGATTTAAGAGATAATTTATCTGTATTCAAAGCAAATAATAATAATAGAATTAATAATGTATTTGATATACAAATTTCTGAATTCTCATTAGAAGCTATAATAACTGAACCTATCAAAGTTATAGCACAAAATATAGCCAATTTATTTATTCCAGTAATAAAAGTTAAGCAAAAAGAGATTCTATGTTGATATTATTACTACAAAGCATATGAAAATTGAATTAATGAGATTAAGCATATAAATAAAATCGATGATCAAACAGCAAGGACATTAGTATATAATGAGATTAAAACACTTCTTTTAGATATTACCAATGTAAACTTGTGCCAGAAAACATTCAGAGCAAAAAAAATTTATATATTACTTACAGGAATAGGTGTCAAAAAAGTTTGAGCAATAACATCTAGCACAAGTGCAATTTCGAGTTTAACTGACAACGAAATTCAAGATATTATAAACTGTTTTTTTAAAAAATCTATTAGTATAGATATTAAATATCAAGAAAAGATTGGTGTTACAAATTGTAACACACACGTGACTGAACCATTTAGCTCAAAAGACATATCAAATATTGAGGTAAGAATATCTACTGAATCATTTTATACCTCTAATTCAGAAGATATGATAAATAAGGATGTCAAATCTTTATCAGAAACTGAGATAAGTGTATTTGCTAAATCGATTTCAAATAAACCAAAAACTGTAAATGTATTCGATAAGTATAATAAAAATGATGATAAATTCTCTGATAATAATGATAATGGAGATTATTGCAGTTTTTCTAACAAAGATGAACCAGGTTATTACTATGATTAAAGTAGTGGAAAAAAAACTTATAAGAATTTTGATTATTTAATCAATGCATATTAAAAGCATAGATTAATAAAGTTAACTTAATAGTTTTTACTAATTAATAATCACAAACTACATTGTAAAAAATCACATAAAAATAAAATATGGGAAGGCCACAGGATCTTCTTCTTTATTTAATAAATTTTTTTTTGCCAAAATGGCATACAAATAAAATATATTTATTAACTTTGATCTAGAATATTTAGTGTGTTCCTATAACTTAGATGACTATAGTCATCATTATCTATATAATATTGTATATATTCTTTTGAAACATAATAAAAAAAATTACTTTTAAGAAAATCATCATCTTTAGAATCATAATTTGGATCATCTAAATTAATAAATTAAGTTTCTTTAGCTTATTGTTTTAGCTTCTTAGCTTTAGCAGAATTTTATTACAAAAGCAATAAGGCTATGCCTCTATTTATTATGTCTGTTTCTCCTATTATTACATTGTCAATTAGAATTATATGTTCTTTGGTTAGTTCTAGAAGCATTATAATTGTTAGTCTAGAGGTATTAGAATTGTTAGTTGTGAAGGTAATGGTGTTATTACTTGTGATGGTAGTGTTATCATTAGTCTTAGAAGTAGTGATATTGTTGATCTTAGAGGTAATACTATCATTAGTCTTGGAGATGATAGTAATTTTGGTCTTGGAGGTGGTACTAAATACAAAAAAATCATGATAAGTAAAAATTCATTTTTATAGATTCCATTAAATAAAATAACAAAATTACTTTAAAAATAAATTACAGATAAGTAAATCAAGTAAAAATATATATGAGCAAAAATAACTTATTGCTAACTTATCTTACAGATAGAAATATGCTTATTTTTATACTTCATATTTATTAGATCTAGAGAATCTGCCAGAAAGAAAAATACATGATTAGTAATTATATTACCCAAATCTAACATTAGTTTTTCTCCATAAAGCAATTCTGCTCAGCTATAAGTTCCAAATTCTAAATATATTTTGTAGTTTTTTTAAGTAAATTGAACTCTCCTTAGATTCAATGATTAGTACTATAAAGTAAAAAAGATAACAATCTTGATGATCTAGGAATTCCAATTTCCTCATAGTATATAAATTTGAATAAAACTACTTATAAAGAGCGTTATATGTATTAGCCTTATAGCCTTTTTAGAATGCAAAGCATTCCTGCTTCACAGAGTCCTATTCGTAATTTGCTTTTATTGTGAAACCATATATAATAAGAAAAGAATTTAGTTATTTGTTAACAGTTAATAAAAAATCAACCATGAAAAATGATTTTGCAAAAGAGTATCACTACATAAAATTTAGATTCTTTAGATCATTGCAAAGCAATAATGCAGGTCATTGATTATTAAAGCTGGTCAAGAATTCAAACTGAATATCAAGTGACATGATGTTGCTATTTTAGCTTTGTCATACTATTATATGACTTAACAGTTCTGTAGATCTACTTTTATTTTGGCCTAGGTTATAATGCATACATACTTTATTTTTTTTTAGCATAAATCAATAGTAAAATAAGTCACAAATGGCTATTAATTTTTAATAATTATTAATATGATTGTGCTAAATTAATATATATTTATATTTGTAGGTATTTGTACAGTATTTACACTTCTGCTAGATAGTTAATCAACATATTTTGATTATATTGCATAAATAACAAAGTTATTCTAAATTTGTAGATCCAACTTAAATATAGTATGTAAAATAATTACAGTACTCCATATAGCCAAATATGTCTCAACAAATTATTAACATAATCCCAAATATAGAAAACATGTGATTGTTGATTGAATTGCTATGTTCAATAATTGTGATGCCAAATTTGGTAAATAGCAATTTGTTAGAAAATTACAAAGTTTATTATAATGTTAAATAAAGCAATATGTTAACCATTGTTTTGATGAATTACTATTTTTTAGAAAGTATACTCTGTAATTACAAAGTGTTAAATCGTCAAATTATGTTTTGCAACATATAATAATATGATAAAAAAATATTTGGCAAATTTATAAATTAACATGTGTTAGGAATAACTATACCTTTAGTTATAATTGTATTTTCTAATAAAAGGAGTGCCTCCTAGCATAATCCTCATAATTTATTTTTTATAACATTATAAGCTTTGCTATATATATTGCTAAAAATTTCCACCTGTTAGTAATATATCGAAAACATTTTTAAATTCATAAATAATACAAGAATCTATTGAGAAGCATAAAAATGAAAATGAAATTTCTAATCTTGTTAACATATCCTAAGAGAAACTAACCAAAAAGTTGTTACATCATGCTTGTTATAATAAAAAATATAGGCTTGGGAAAGAACAAATTTTGATCCTACTAATGGACTACAATTTACTTATCATACTAACCATAACATTAACAATTAATGATATTACTTTTGATCCAAACCAGATATATATTATTTATAATTATCAAATTCTTTTCTCACTGTTAGGATTGTTTTTGTGTTAATTGGTCAACCTTTTCAAGCTATTATTGAATATACTCAAATATGCAAAAAATTTCATTTTATAGTAAAAATGATAGAGTCTCTACTGAGTATATTTGTAGTTTAACAGACACACAGTTATTTTTTTAATAATCCAATAATTAGTTAGGATGGTTGGTCCAGTTCACAAAAATATTAGACAGGAGAAGATAAATCTAAAAACTCATCCAAATCTATTAATAAGCTTAATATTAATTTTATCTTTGTATTATTAATTATTAGCATTGAACCCAATATGCAACTTAGAGGTTATATATATAAGATAAAATATTTTATATTGAAAAAGAGTAGAAGAGCATTCTGCTTGGCCCATCTGATCACATAGCATCAAAAGGAGTTAAAAGTTGAGAAAAAGTTTTTGCAAAAGAATTATTAATAAAAACATTAGTTCGAGAAGCTGTATTAGTAAACAAAGTTGAGCTATCTGAGATCCTGCCTGATTTTTTAGCAGTTATTAATAATGAAATAATTAAAGTCAATTATGTTACCCAAGTAAAGTCCAAAACAAAAGATCTAAATAAACAATTGTGGCTTTCTCTTAGACAATGGTAAGAAATAGAAGAACTACTCACAAGAAGAGATGTACATCAGCATCTTCGATGTAAGTAGAAAAAACTGAAACATATTATAGAAATTTGAAATTATATAGAATCACAAAATTCTTCAAATATAATAACCTTATGTATCTCTCAAAAAGAAAAGACCCAAATGATAATTTCTGCACAAGGTAATCTTTGATCACTAAAAGGGTTAGTGCAGTTTCAGTATATTGTAAAGCCAGAATGTGTTACTGATATAGATGGCTAAACTTTAATATATCTGGCATTACTTAATAATCCAAAGGCAGTTATACAAGCAACAAATGCTATAAACTATTATTATTTTCATATCTTAAATAATCCTTCCCACCATAGCAATGAATTTTGGAAGAATTTCATAGAATATTTTGGTGCATATACATGAAATAACCTCTTCTTATTTACTAGTTTGAATATTGCAAGTTTCTATAATGTTACATATCAAGAATGTGTTGACACTTTACTTTGCAAACTTGGCCTATTATCAACCTCTGTTAATAAATTTGTACAAGAATTTTATAGAAATTTATATGAAAAATTAGAAAAGTTGGTGTAGGGACCTTTTGCATCTTGACTCTTTGGAATCTTTCTAATGATCGCTATTAATTACAATACAACTAGTAATTACTATTGGGATGAACATGATGAACCAAATAGTTTATGCTGTTTGGTCACTTTTAGAGAATTTGATGGAGAAGAATTATGTTTTCCTCAACTTCAGATCATTGTACCACTTTAGCCTAAACAAGTTGTAGCATTTTCCTCATGTCTTCTACTGCATGATAATTTTCCACTTACAAATGGTATTCATCATAGTATTGTATACTTTGTATATGATATCTTTTTTCATAATCTATGGAAATTCGATGATGTATACAATAATCTGAAAAATAGGATTAAGAAAAATGCTGATGGGCATAATGTTCTTTTTATTAAACATCAAAATCTTAATAATGCTCAAGGATTAAATTCCAGAACTACATTTTTTAAGTCAAAAAAAAGCAAATAACAATTTTTTCTTCATCAACAGATTGTAAAAGGGGTCATATTTCTTTGGTACATGCTAGGTATGGGTTGAGAGCAGAAGATCTACTTCTAGATTTATAAGTAATTGATAGAAATGTAATATATTTTTATTGTATTACATATAAATATATAATGTATATTTAAAAAATAAATAAATAAATTCTTGTCTTCTCCAAACATATAGTTTTTATATAATTCTGCTAATATGAGTTTACAATTCTCACTACAACCAAATATGCATCTCTTTTATTCTTATTTATATATTACTCACAAAATATGACAAATATACACAACTAATCTAATAATCCAATTTATTCTAAAAATGAATCTGGTTTTAATCATATATATTGTACCAAATCTGATAGGTCAAAATACTTCTAAATATACTTAAATCTCATATAATCATTAAATATATCGAGAACAAAACATGATATAAATAAAAGGATTGCAAGAACTAGTAGACATAATGTTCTTAATAGAATTATCAATGCTGAGAGGCCTTATGATTTTATTAGTATAATCTTTAAAGAAAAAATGCCTATTCAGTGGAGTTGTCATGTTAGAATTACTCTTCAAGAGTTAATAGGTTCAGGAGGTTCACATTTTACATTTCATCAATATTGCCTTCATGTTTCATATATTTAAGATGTGAATTTTGAAAATATAATTACAGCAGAGGTAAACTATATGAAAATAGTACTGCAATATGTTTTTGTTATATAATACTTATACATGTTAATGTTAATTTAGGCTTAAAAACAAGTCAATTCGATTTAATGAAAGATCATTATGATTATAAATGCTTAAGACCACAAACTGGTTATGGATACTCAAGACCACAAACTGAGTTTGGATGTGCAAGAGTTATACAAAGACTTTGAAGAAATTTTAGAGAAAGAGAACCATCAAATGCATAACTTGCTTGGAACAGTTTACCAAATGATGGTACTCCAGATAATAAAAAACTTCTAAGTTTAACAAAACATAAAGTGAAAAATTCTCAGACTCGAGAACAATTTGATCAATAGCATACTAAATAGATTACAATATATAAACAATGTAATTTAAATATTCCTTTAGATATTTATATTAGAAAATATGAAGAATATTATATTCCATATAATTGAATAGATTCTAAAAAGAGTCAATTGCAGGTTAGATTCAAAAAATGACTTTTAGAAATAGAAGCATAGTACACAGGTATTTATTCGATTTATTAATTCCTTACAGATACAAAATACCTATACTATTTATATAATATTTTTGGCTATGCTAGTTCTACTGATACTTTTAAAAACATAGATAGGTAGTTGTTTATTATTTTCCTAAAGGCAGAGTCTCATTGCTTTGCAATAATGTTATTCTTAAGAGAAATATATTATGAAATTTCTGGAATAAAAAATACCAATGTAAAATAAAAATCTATGAAGTGGGTTTAGCAAATAATATGTTTTTTATTTTGCACTTTTGTCATAATTCTATCTCTTTTTGCAAATCTAATAGAGTATCAAACCTTAGCCAAATTGCAAGTGGATCATCCTCAGGCCTATCTAGATCAAATACAATAAATTCACCTTTATATAAGTAGCTGTTAATAACTATTAATGCATTTTTTATATCATCTGTATATCTACAAATAATTTTAGAAACATCTTCATATGAACTACTAGAATTAAAAAGTACTAAATAATTAGCATTTTTACACATGAATGTAATGATTTTATGATATTTTTGTGCCACAAATATATATGAAATATTTTGATGTTACCCATTTCCAAAAAATTGGCCAATTCGATTCTGTATATGTTCTAAAATGAAACAAAAATTCTCAAAAACAATTGCTGAACTTTGTTCAGATGAAAATGCCTTTATATTAGTGATTTTTTCTGATGATATATAGCTAAATTATATATTTTCATAGTAAAGTGCTTTTAGGTCTTTTGAAATTATGCTATACATATATCTAACAAATGCCTATTTTGGCTTGTCAGGATGATAACCACAAACTATTAAATTATCACAAGAAATATATCTTCTACTATCTTTTTTTTCTTTATATATGTATTTAGCTTTATTACTGAGAAAAGATTTGTTAAGATATTAGTCTTATCTGATTCACTTTTTTTTGTAACTATCATTCTAAAGAGCCATGTTGGACTAGCTAGATGAGATTGACAACAAGATGCAACATGTTTATTAGCTTCATCTATATTTATAAGGAATAGTTTTATAAGTGAAAGTTCTTTCTTTCAGTTTTTTTGTATAATGGATTGGAAATCCATAACTATAATTTTTATAAATTAGATAATAAATTTCTTTTCCCTGATAATTCACTTCACTTTGTTTATTTATAGTTGGTTTATATATTCCAGAAAACAAATTTTCAGAGGCAGTTATATAATAAGTATAATTTGGCTTCGAGTTCAAAGAATAAGAAGGTAAAGTTTAATAAAAAATATTACTGTATATATACCAAATAATTAATATCACTATTATTGTAATAATGACAATTTTAATAATAAGAGGAATTTAATACTTATCATTAACTAAAGCCTTGCCAGTACATACTGCCCCTTTTATTGTAATATCTTGAATCAATGACTCTGGATTCTGCTTATTTGTGATAATTAATAATGGTTTATTTTTTTTATTACTAGCTCATTTTTACTTTTAAAATATTTTGCAAGACTTTTAAATAAGGCATAGCCTTGAATATTTGATTTCTCTGATATGTCTTCAGAATTTGATATGAAACTTTGTTTCTCACTTTGCATATTTTTTTCTGTACCTCTCCTAATTACAAGATCCAATATATCCTTTGTTTTCTGTAAAGCAGAATGTAAAGTACCTAAACACTTAATTTCATTAATTTTTAAAGCTAATTCATTCTTTGTATTCATTAGTTCATTTTTTATATTAATTAATTCAGACTTGAGAGATATAATCTCAGATTCTTTTTTTACTATCTCTTTCTGAGTTAAGAATGCATCCTTTTAAGCTGATTCTAACTTACTTTCTAGTATTTTTTTTATAGACCAAAGTGCTGTAATTTTCTTTGATTTATTCTGAGTTGAAGATAGTTTCATTTCCAATATTTTTATCTTAAACAGAAGATCTTTTATCTTAATCTTAGATTCTTTAAGAAAAATATCTTTGCAAGTAATCTGAGATATTAGATTATCTAACTTTAAACACAATCATTTAACCTCATCTATAAACTGAAAAGCATGCTTAGAGAGTTTCTCTTTATTTTTATTAGATTGTTTTAGATCATATTGTATACATTTATTGTCTTTATCCAAAACAGAACATTTATTAGAAAGTCAATTGCCATACTCTATAGCAATTTCTTGATCTTGATTTGTACAAACAAGCTGGTTTTCAAGTTCTGTTCGGCTAGGTGGATATCGATTAGATGGTATACTTCTAAGTTTTTGACATTCATCTATATTTAATAAAGTATGAATTTGAGGCATACTTCAGCTAAGTAAATATAAATATAAAGCATTAAAAAATCAATATTTATACAAGAAAATTGATAGATATTGATACCTTTATATATGAAATTTATTAATATGTTTCAATACTTACCAAAAGAAAACAATACATATCGATGCCTACTAAAAAGAAACAATACTTATTGATATATATTAGATGCTTACTAAAAAAGAAACCATACTTATCGATATATATTAACATTATAATAACATCAATATGTTTTAAAAAATATTGATACTTTTATTCCTATAATATATTTTAACTTAAAAATGGTCAATTGTCTTCATTAAACCTTCTATCAATCTAATGCGACTTAATTATCAGAGTTTAATATTAAGAAGATTAGAGATTCAAGAGAAAAAATTCCAAATGCATCAAAAAAAATAGCTGAAAAATTTTATATTGGTGCCTGCCATGTATATGAGATATAAAAACATAATGAATGTTTCCAACAAGGTTTTGATAATCAAAATGATTTCTTATTACCATCTAATTCAAATAAAGGTCTCATGTTAAATAAGTCTCAAACTAAGAATATTCTAGCTAAGAAAACATCGACAAAAAAGATTAGCTAAAAAAGAAAAGTTTTATCAGATTCACATATAGTAGGCTCGAAGAGTGATAGCTCTGCAATAGAAAAAAATATCACTTCTATAGATAGGTTTAAAGAACTACAGTGTGTATAAACTTTGTTCAATAAATCTAGAAGAAAAGCAGATCTTGAAAAATTAATGAAAGATACTGAAAGATTAGCTCCTATACGTCTGTTTTTGTCTCAGTAAGCTGAGAGCATCTTTCTGCAAGAATTCTACCTGCATTTAGAGCCATATTAAGCCACTCTTCAGTTTTTATAAGTTGCTTTTCAAGTAAGTCATATTTTTTTTAAATTCTCACTATCATACATATCTGAAAATTGTTGCTCTGGTTCATTAACCTCTGTAGTCTTGCTAAAAGTTAGGATAGTGTAAGTTTTTTCATGTAACTTCATTTGAAATTGATTTTTATTTGAATCAAGAATACCTTGAACTTTTCGAATTCATGTCATATCTAAATATAATATTAGTTCAGGTTCATCATTATTAATATAAGCAAAATTTCTAGTAGCTGTAACAATCTTACCATTTTTGTTCTTTATACTAATTGGCATATCTGTATACCATCCTAATGATTTAAATATATATTTGGAATTACCCTTTATAGCAAAGTCAGCAGGCTTATCAGCTTTTCATTCCAGGGCATTGATTGTTGCATCATTTACTTTTTCGAATTCACTCGCATTATCTAAAAAGGAATTAGTAATCAATAGATCATTTACATTACAATGCAAGTATTGCAATAATGAAAACCATTCATCTAATTTTAATTCTTTTTTCTGGACTATATGAGACTGACATATTTTACATATTGCTAATGAAAGCTTTGGTAATAGTTCATTGTATGTTTCAAGCTGACTAAGTTCTGGAAGCATTTTTTCATTTACTGGTATCTGTTTTTTTTTTTAACTAAGATAGAGCATGCCATTTATTCTCTTTCTCATTATATCCACCTTTTTCATCCTCATTATCATCTAAATCAGGAGATGCATATTGAGATTGAGAAGGTATTAGAAGAGAAAAGTATCGATATGTTGAATTTAATTTAGCTACAGGTTTTTTGTTATCAAGCATCATCTTCCTGAATTAAGATATCATTTGACTAATTTCATCTACTTTTGATTCTATTTTATCCATTTTAGCAATTTGATTTGATAAATATAATCATCTCTGATAAGGTTTTTAAAAAGGCTTTATAGAATAATTTCTGTCAAAATCTTTTTTACTAAATATACCTAAATTATTTAAGTATTGTGTAAGTGAAAATTTTCTATACCTTTTTCTGTTTGTAATGAAGATGGTAGACCTCTTGGCTGTCTAACTAGTTCAATAATTTAAGATGCAGATACTTGCATTTGCTTAGTCATTTGTGATTGAAAATCAGTTTTTTGTTTTTCTAATAAAGATTGATATTTAGTTTTTTGCTGTACCAGTGTGTTTTGGATTGCTTTTTGCATATCTTCTAAAGAAATTGTATGCCTTTGCTGTTGAGAAGCTGGGTAACTAGTGCTAAAGAATAAGATACTAGATTTATACTAGGTAAGATTTGCACTTGATTGGCAATTTGACTTAATTCTTCTAGAATTCTTTTACTAAAATTTTGTTCACACTTTAGTCACATATTTTTTAGTTTAGTAAAAAATACATTAATGCCTGCAGGATTAAAAATTCTCATCCAAGTATAAAAATTATCTATTAAATAACTTTTAAGAAATCTTAAAACTTGTGTATTATTGTCTGCTACTTCTAATAATAGTAGTTGAATTCTGGCTTCATAGGTATCAGGAGTATCATAAGGCTAATATCTTTCTTGAGTCAATTTTTGAATGGCTGATTGTTGATTTTTGATAGTTTCTTACTGATATTTTGCTCTCATTTAAGCCTGTAATGTATCTGGAAAATTTATAGCTGGATTTCCTACTACAAGATTATTATTTGCTAATACTGGAACATATTTTCTACTCATTATAGATTTTAAAATATTACACTTAACTGCATTGTCAAAATCTCCTGCATTTGCATTCTTAAGAACCATCATATGCTCTTCAAGATATGCCTATAATTGAATAACTTTATTCAAGTAATCATCAGGTAGTTTTTGGTCTGTATAAAATGAAAATTTTGCAAGAGCAGAAGCCATTAATTTTAATACTGATAAACATCTAGCATCAGCCATATTTATTTGATTTGGTGGATTATTATGAAGTACAAAAATTTGTTGCTATAAATTTAAAATATTCTGGTGTTCTGTATGGGTCTTATTTTTCTATTTCATATATCACTCATAAAGTCTGTTTTTATTATATTCTAATAATCCCTTATTAGCTCTGCATTGTTGTAGGTGATGGGCATTTCACTAATACAATAACTGAAAAGCAAAATTTTTATATAGCAATTCACTAATATGGGTTTGTTTTCTGCTATATTATCTATCATTCTATTTACCTGGTTTTGTGCATTAGTTCACAACTGCTAAAGATCAAGCAATGTCTGATCTCACTCCTGTCTGTATGTATCTTGGTCCCATCATATGTTTATCAGATCTTGTTGTAGGTTAGTGTATTTACATTAGATTGATCTTATTGATTTTTTAATTTGATTTGTTAAAACAGTTCTATATATTGCTGTATCATTTAGAGATCAGTCTATAGAATCAGCCAATTTAGCTATTGTTCCCATATTATTATTAGAATTATATAAGTCTGGAGAATTTTTATCAGAATCAGAATCAAATTCATTTTCATTAAAATTTCATGCCTATGCATTTTGTAAAGCTTTTTGTATATTTGTAAATTCTAATCTATCACAATATCTTAATAATGCTAAAGCAACATTCTGACAAAGAAGATCAGTAATACGATTTTTTTGCTGCATTATTTTGTTAATTCTATTTATTTAGTTAGTTCTTATTGTATTTATTTCTTGTTTAAGTCACTTATTTTTATTCACTAATCTTGTTATATAATCTTGTGCTTTAGAGATATTGCCAGCTGATTTTGATATTTTATGAATTCTGATTTTTAATTTTGTCTCTTGTTCATCAAATTCTGATATTAACTTATTTTTATTAGAAATCTTCTTATTTTTCTTTTTATTTTCTTCTTCAAGTTAATGAATAATTCTTTTGAGTTTTGAGATTTCTTCTAATAATTCTTCTTTGTTTTGTCTAGAAAGCTTGATAATGTTATTTAACTTTTTTTCAAGATATCATATTCTTTCTTTGCATATATCTATAATTCTTTCTAAAATATATAGCTGTTGTTTGAAATTTCTATTTGATTCAGCTAATTGTAATACCATCTCATAGAGTTTCTAGTTAGTTTGTTGTAACTCCTTCATGTTTTTTATTATTATAATAAAACAAAGAAATGGAGAAACCCATAATTTATATTGACTTACAAAAGATTCATGATTTGGATAAGGAGATTACTTTGCAAAAAATTTATTATAGGCCTGAAGGTTATTATCAGACTGCTGAAAAAATGCATAATGCATGTATAAGGACTAGACATAATTTTTTATTAGCTGAGATACATAATTGGTTAAATAAGCAAGCCGTTTTTCAGATTCACAAGCCACCTCCAAGGTATATTTTTCAAGTTTTATTTAATACAATTCAAATTCCTAATGAATGTCATCAGGCCAATATTCTCTATATGCCTTATGATAAAATTGAAAAAATAACTTATATGGTTTCTCTTAATGTAGTAGATATAGCGAGTAAATATAAAGTATTAATTTCAATTAGAGATATTATTTCTAATATTGACATAAGCTGGCTAAAAGCTAAAGATGTTAATCTATTGCAGAGCAATGGCTCTTTGAGCCTAAAAAATATTTTAACTTCCAATACTATTGCTAAGACATTTAAAAAAATCTATAATGATCCAACATGTCTACTTATTTATTCTAAATTATTATTAACAGATAAGGCTTAGAATTTAGAGGAGATTGTGAGAGACTAATGTAAAGACATAATGTAAAAATCCAGAAGGCTAATTCTAAACATAGTATGGATATTGTTAAAAAATATAACTGAACCTTGGCAGAGAGCTTGTTTTGAATACAAGATGTGTCAGATTTGCTATTGCCAATATCTGAAAAGTCTAAAGTTTAGGTAAAAAATCTTCTAATTATTGTTAAAAAACTTAATAATTCTGTAACTTAACTTCTTAAAATGACTCCTGCAGAAGCTATTCAAAAGAAATAGGTTAGTGCTATGTCTTCTTTATCTCATAATGGTCCTGTTGGATTTGATGAACCTTGATTATCTTATAATATTTTGGTAAGATACTTACTTGAACCAGGTGAGTTAGAAGGTGAAAAACATCATGTGACTAATTGTAATTGGTCTCCAAAAGTTTATCATATTAAAGAATTCTTAATACAAAAAAATCAACCAGTATTGTACTGAATTACAGATGAAAATAGCAATGGACCTGAAAGATCATTTGTTTATAAACAATTAATGAAAATTGATAAGATTGAATATCCATCCAAATAGGTATTATAAGATTAATAGTGAAGTTGGTATCTTTAATATAAGGTAAATAGGAGTATTGTGATGAAGGGGAGTATTGTAATGAACTTTTAATAAAACCAACTTCTCATATTATTTAACTCCTTTGTAATCATGTTTTTTTTTTATATTGAAACAAGACTTACATAATAAGATGCCTAAAAGGGAAGAAGCAGTTATTACTACTGTAATGAGTAATACAAACAAAAAAAAATTTCGATTGTTTGCATGCAAATTTAAATGCAGAAAATTTGATGTCAAATCCTAATTTGAGACATTAATTAAAAATATCAGGAAGATAATTTACATTTAGAAGTTTATCAGTATTATTTATTTAAAGTTAAAATTAACTCAAAAATAATCTATGATCTTTAGTGTTAATTTAATCTTTCAGTTAATTTAATCTTTCGTGTTAATTTAATCTTGCACATTCAACTAGTGTTTTTTTTTTTTTTTTAATTGTATTACTTAAACATAAAAAAAATAAAACAATTATAAAAACAAAAAATATTGTCACGTTCTAATTGTGTTCATAACATCATACTAGTATTGTTACTTATCATTACTGCTATCAAGCTATAGTTTCTAAGTTCGTCACTTCATTATATTCAGTTGCTTTTAAATTAAAACATAGCTATTCAAGAATATTGGTATTAGATTTATATTCAGGCTACTTGAACTTAACTTAGTATAAATCTAATAACAAAACTGTACTGTTTTTTCATTTTTGGATAAATCGCTTCTCACATTCTTTTTAATCAATTGATCTATCAAATTAATTTTATTTTATTTCCATTTTATTTATTAAATTAAAAAACTTTTTTGAATTGTTAAATTATTATTTTTTTTAATTAGTAACAATCTTTTTTTAAATTATTATTTTTTTTATTTAAATTAAATACTTCTTTTTATTTAACACTTTATTTTATTTATTAAATTAAACACTTTATTTAACACTTTATTTTATTTATTACATTAATTAAATTAATCACTTCATTATTTATTAAATTAATCACTTCATTATTATATTTATTAAACACTTTTTTTTTATTTTTATTTATTAATCTTTTTTATTAAATTAATTACTTATTTATTAAATTATCATTTTATTTATTTATTTATTTATTTAATCATCTTTTTTTTATTTTATTTTTTATTTATTAACTATTTTTTTTTAATTAGAGATTAATCAAAATGCCAAAAGTCTCTTACCTTAACAAATGAAATACAATCTCTGCAGCAATTAATGAGTTAAACAGTTATTCTGTTGGCACCAAACGCCCAAGTGTAAATCATGTAGTGAGAAACTTTGGGCTTTCTGAAGCTACTCTTCGATGTGCAATCAAGAAAGGTGGCCCTCCAAATCATCGGGGTCCATCTACAATTCTTACAGAACATGAGGAAAACCAACTTGTTGGATATTGCATGAACATGCAACAGCTTGAATTTGGTTTAACTAAGTCTGGAGTAAACTATTGCGTGATGGAAATAATTCACTACAATAAATGACTACATCCATTTAGAGATAAAGGGCCAGGTCAAGACTGGTAGACTCGTTTCATGAGACAACATCCTGAATTATTATTTCATACCCCTCAAGAATTATCTGAAGCTTGCGCACAAAGAGCCAATCCAATAATCATTAAAGACCATTTTAATAAACTTGAACAAATAATTAATGAAAATTCACTTACAGCAACACAAATTTGAAATATGGATGAAACCGAGTTCGTTCTTATACCTAAGCTAGAAAAAGTTATTGCAAAAAAGGGCTCGCATCAGGTTCATAAAGTTGTACATAGTAACTCTCATGAGCATATTTCAGTTATACCAACAATTTCGGCTGTCGGCTCATACATTTCACCTTTAGTTATCTATAAAGTAAATATGATAAAAAAAAAAAAACAGTTTAAAACTTGTAATAATTAAAGTCTGAATACTTTATTTTTAAAAAAAAATTTACTATCTTTACTATAAGGATGTTCATGCAATTCCTGGTTTACTACAAGATGCACCCCCTGGAGCAGTAATGAGTTTTACAGATACCGAATATATGCGTAAAGACCTTTTCCAAATGTACCTTAGCTATTTTACTAACTCGATCCCTCCAATTTGACTGGTTTTACTAATGCTTGATGGTTATAAGAGCCATATCAGCTATACGTGCATTGATTTTTGTTGCCAAAATGAAATACTTCTTTATGCACTTCCACCACACATGACTTATATTTTACAACCGTCCGAAATTCCTTTTGCAAAATTGAAAAAGAAATTTGGGAAACAGTATGATAAATATCATAATACTACTAGTAAAGTAGTAACAAAATACATCTTCGCAAAACTTTTTGGACCAGCTTTCATTGAGACTTATGCACCATCTGCTATTTG